TAATTTATCTATTAATTTGTGGTTAATATTGGTTCTCACAGTTACCACAAACAACTCAGTTCTCCCTTGAATAGGCCCCTATATATATATATATATATATACTTGGGATCATGTGAGACCAAGGGTTTCTCGTGAGACCCGTAAGACCAATTCTCAACCTTTCGATTAGATCTACAATCTTAACATTCATAATCACAAAATTGCCACGAGACTTCTCAATAATCACAAAATTGCCACCGTACAATTTTAGATCATTAGCTTATAAAGTTGATCAATGAACATAAATTGATCTTACGGGTCTCTCGAAAAACCCTTGGTCTCACGTGAACCCAATCCTATATATATATATATATATAGGGAGAGAGAGAGAGAGACTTGGGAATTGGGATCATGTGAGATCCATGAGACCACCTTTTTATACTTAGACCTTCACAGTAAAACACTGTGAAGGTAACCTTAGTATTTTTGCTACGAAGGTTCGAATTTTTTTTCCTTCACAATATTTTGCTCTGAAATTTCAAATGTAAAAATATGGTCTTATGAAAACAGGTTGGTCTCACGTGAAAACAACCCTATAATATATATATATATATATATATATATATATATAAACTTAAACAATCTTAATGTTTGTCCAACATCTGGCAGCCCGATATAAAAGTTAAAGTTATAACTTACTGCAACTCGGCTACACCTCGAAGTCACGTACTCCCCTCGTGACCCGTTATCCGAAGATGACTTTGTGCTTGACCTCTTCTTATGGGTATAATCGAAGAGTTCTATAGTTGACGATGGCACGCCTTTTCTTGCTCTCATCTATAAAGATTTTTGGGGTACTAACAACTTTTTAGGACAATTTTAATATAAAACTTTCACATTAGTCTTTATATGATTTTTTTTATATCTTTGGTAATAGGCTTTCCTCGAGTATCCGGTATAAAAATAAATAAGACACCTTATTTTAAAAGTGTCATAAAAATTTGTTAGGATGTCGAAATACGGCCTACTACAACAACTTCAAATAGGACAACAATTGTTTGGCCGTATAACTTAAGTCTATAAGAACATTTAGACGTTCCATAAAACCGTATGACGGAAAAAATATGTTTAAAATCTTCATTTTCTTTGATTTGGAGAATCTGTTGGATATGCTCTTGGTACATAAATATATCGAGAAGAAATGGTAAAATCTAGCCGATAACAAATACAACTTGATAAACAATTTAATGACTTTTAATTTTTATGTGTGTTTTATAGTTCTAAGACCACTTCTTTGATTGAGGCCAAAAGGACGAACTCTCAAAGTTATCAGGGGTAGGGGTGAGGGCGAGGAACGGGTTTGATGCAACAAGCCAAGTGAAGATATTGGCTTATGAGGCCGATCTTTATGTCGAGGAGATTGACGAAAAAATCGTACTCAAAATCGGGCCGAGGAATGATCTTGGAAATCTTATTCCACAAAATTTTCAAATTGCTACTTCTTGGGAGAACTATTGTGTATGGGATAAAAAATCGTAAGTTCGAATGAGAACTGTTGATGGATCGAACTATTGAGCATTCAAGATACGATTTTTGAAGTTAAATTGATCAGGTGTGTGTGATTAAATATTATGAACGAGCGATTATATGTAGGTTTGTTGTAAAAAGATCATCTAACTTGTGAAAATACAGAATGATATTAACTTGGATGGAATTCGAACGATTCTTACTTGAAGATTTTACTATAATATCGCTACAACAAACTGAGCTTTTTAGAATATTTGTTGGAATTTTAATTTTATAAAGCCAACAAGTTTGTATCATAAACAATGACGTTAGAATAAGTTGTTAGAAAGATGTTGGACGACCTAATAAGTTATATTGATGAAGTTGGGTAACTGACGACAAGTACATCGCCCTATCAGTTTTTTATTTTTATTTTACAAAAGACTTGTATAGCAGAGCAATTTACTTTTTGAGTTTTATTAGGTTGTTCAAGTTCGTTAATAGAACTTGTTAGGTCGTCTAACTCCGTCCTAACAATCTATTTTATAAACTATTATACCAGACGTAAATTTGTTTAGTCCTATAAAGTTTAAGTTGTGTTTAATTATTTTATCTCAAAAACAGTTGTGCGTTCAAAAAGTCTCATTTCGTTATGGTGTCTTCTTGGTGTGGCGTATTTTTTTATGATGGCATCGGACATCATCGTTGGTTCAACTAGTTTATATAAAATTTCAACATCCTTCACATGCAGTCATCTTTTAAGATGCATTTAGTATATTAAAATAGTTGTCTATCTGATGTTTGATACGACTATAAAAAGACAAGATATCAAAAGTAGATTGAGAAAACCCATATATTGTATTTAGATCAAATTATACAAAGAACTCACATTGCTTTTGACCATAAATGTGTAGAGGGTGCTATGAACCAATGATAACTTGAAATTGATGTAGCCATTTGTCCTCAAAACATCCTCATGTACTCTTGTTTGAATGTTTCTTCCTGCTAAAGAACATGAAAAATCTCGGGAAAAACGACCTTCTTTTCTTCTTTCGAGGCTTCGTTTCACGAGATGACCCGGTCCCGTTGTTGTTGGTTTCGGGTTTTGTATCGGGCTTATGATTGTGAGCCGAATGGCTGGGTGGTTGCATGTCAGTGGTCCCTTTTGTGTTCGAACCCTGAACCACCCCTCTCTGACAACCATCATCGCGGGCTTTTCGCTTTTGCTCATGGTCGGCTCTCCATGTTCTAAGCTCTTGTTCTACAACCAATTTTCCTTCTTTAGCCTTCTGAGCCTTTTGCATTGCAATTGAAAGTTCCTCCTTTCTCGAAACCAAATCGGTGTTTATTTGGCCGAGTTTGGCTAGTGCTTTCGTTTCTGACTCTTTTGCTACATCGATTTGGGAAATGGCTTCGGTAACCCGCAAATTCGCCTGATCTTCGGCTTCTTGGACTTTTCGGCTTAGTTCATAGTATTCCTCCAAAGAAAGTGTAACTCCGTATTCCAGTTCGTTTTTATTACTTCGAGCCGACTCACTCTCGTGAAGTGCGCTAATCGCTCCGAGAGCCAACCGTTCCGATGCTCGTGCCGCCTCGATCTCCTTCTGAGTCGCGTTTAATCTGGTTGTCATTCTATTTTCTCCAGCCTTTGCTTGATCCGCCGCTTCCTTCGCTTTCTGTAGCTCTTCACGGGCGGCTCTCGCAAGCGATTTCGCGCGATCAGCCTCCTCGGCCGCCTTCTGAAGTTGTTTCGGAAGTTCAGCCATCTTTTCTCGCGCTTCCTTCTCTTTCTTTCGAACGAGATCGAGCTCGGAAGTCATTGTTTTTAACTCGGCCTCGAGAGAAGCGACCGTCACCGAAGCCATCCCTTCCGTTCGCCGAATGGCAACCAATGTCGCTTTCTCTTTCTCGAGCTCGGAATTCAAAGAAGTTGCTTTGAGTTTCAAATGATTGATACCTTCCGTTGCTTTTTCAATCTCTTTCTTCACTTGTTCAAGATTCATCTTTGCTAAATCCACAGCTGATTGTATATCTTTATGGGTACTGTTATTTATCTTCTGGGATTCATTACTTTCCTTTTCTTCTCCCATATAAGCTGCTAATTCGAGCTTCAGATCTTGAAGCAAAGCCGAAGCCGTGTCGAGTTTTGACTTAAGTTCTTCGGTCGAAATGATCTGCCGGTTAACTTTCTCCAATTCCTCTTGTGCTTGCTGTAATTCTTTCTCCCAATTCGACGCATCTTGATCTCGAGCCATCGCTACTCCGATCCGGTGTTCCTCCGCCTCCAAATGGGCGGCATGTGCCGATTCTAACGCCTCTTTCGTTGTAATCAGTTTGATCGTCAACCCTTCTACCGTCTTTTCTATTTCTCTCGAATTGGAAACAGCCTCTTCAGCGTTCTTTATTGCGATATCTCTTTCCATTAGCAATAAATCGTAATCTTTCTGGAGGTTTTCGAGCTCGTTTTTTACTCTTTTCAGCTCAGCAATTGCTGCTTGATTTCGCGCTTGGGCGACCTCTAGTTGCGCCTTGGCGGCAACACTAGAATCATCCGAAATCCCTTGCTCCATCTCTTCGACTCGTAGTTTTGCAAGCTCGGCATCTTGTTTGGCTTGGCGCTCTTCGGTTTGTGTTCGCTCGAGGTTTAATTTCAATTCTTCTATGAGTCTTTTGGTGTCGTCGAGCTCCTTTAAGACCTGCCGTTTCTCTTCCTCGGCAGCCTCAGCCTTTTTCTTAAACAACGGCATCTCATAGTGTGCTTTTCGAAGTTCTTGTTGTACATACTTACGCCTCTACGAGAGTAAATTTCAAGATTATGGTTTAACTCAGTATGATCAAAGAGTAAAATCATATAGAAACTAACCGATGTCACTGCAACAGATTCGGGTTTATGGCATGCCAAAAATGTCTAAATAATAATATCTATATATGAAAAAGTGTTACAAGAAGTTTATAGAATGATTTTGTATATTTTAACAACACTTGCAACAAACTTATTGTGTTTGTTCATATAAACTTAATTCATCAATCAGTAAACCCTCCAATTGTCAGAATGGGATTCAGTTGTGGGAAGAAGATTGATTATAAGAAATTGGGGAAGATAAGAGCATTATACCTCTGCAATCCGTATCTTATGGGCTTTCCAATCAACGATTCCAGCAAACATGGAGACAGCTGCTTTAACAGATTCAAATGGTGCAGTTGTATCAATATCACCTATCTTAATGTTCGATTTCTCAAGCTGCTTTTCCGAACCAACTTTATCCGATTTGGGAGAGACCTCCCTCGATGATGCTTCTTCACGGTTCTGAGTTATTTTACCGCTTACAGGTCCCAAAGGTGATTTTGGTTGACAATTAGCACGTAATTGAACATGTTTAAGAGAGTCGTTTGGTAACACACCATCTACAGTTGGTTTTGGTTCTTGTTTTGATGAAATAACATCCTCTTGAACTTGACCCTGTGCCTGAGGACCATCTTCTCTTGTTTCGGGATCATTTGATTCTAGTTTCTTTTCTGATGTTTCTGACTCAACTGATGATGAAATGACATCCTCTTGAACTATAACCCGAGCAGTAGGACCATCTTCTCTTGGTTTGGGATCATTTGGTTCGGGTGTTTCTGATGAAATGGTATCTTTTTGAACATGATCTAGACCCACAAGACCATCTTCACCTGTTTCAGACAATACATCATTTGGTTTTGATTCTGATGTTCCTCCTGATGGAACCGAGGGCATAACATCTTCTTGCACATGAACCCGACCCATAAGAGCATCTTTCTCTGTTTGGGACGTCAGATCATTTGGTTTTTGTTCTGAATCTGATGTTTCTGACGGAACGAATGAAATAACATCCTCTTGAACATGAGCCGAACCCATTTCATCATTTGATTCTGATTCTGGTTTTGATGGTTGTGGTTCTGAAACAACCGTTGGCATAACGTCTTCTGTAACATCTATAGGATCATTTAAGGCTTGTTCTGGTTCTGACACAACTGATGGTATAACATTAACATGAGCCGAACCCGTCAGATCATTTGATTCTAGTTTTGGTTCCGGTTTTGATGGTTCTGACACAACTGATGGCATAACCTCTTCTTGAACATGATCCTGTGCTCGTTCTGGTTCTGATGGCATGACATCTTCTTGAACATGATCCCGACCCATCAAACCATCTTCTTCTCTTCCCGACAAAAGATCATTGGGGTTTTCTCCACTTTGCTGGACAAGGGGTTCTGGGGAAGGCGTTAACCGATCATCTATTGGAGAATCCAATGGTTTTGGATGGGTTGAGGCTTTTTGTTCAATTTCAGGTCCATCTGATGGATTTTCTTCACCAATAACGTCTCTACCATTATTAGCATCCATCTCCCTTACCTGGGTTTGAGGTTCTAATTCTTCATTTTTGACCAAATTAGCCGACCCGTCACCATTCGTAGTTACATTTTCTTCCAGAGTTTTCACTTCATCCATTCCAGAATTATGAAACATGCAGAGTTAGTTGGATATCTGTAATTCAATTCATCAAACAAACCAATTCACTATTACTCTTCAAGTCCATTAAACTTTCCTACATTTTATGTTTATGAATTTGAATTTGAACACAATGCATACCAGGAAATCCCCGGAATCAAATCCAGAGGCTTCTTAAAAATCTCTCAATAACTTGATTAACTCCAATAAATTAACGATTATAGCTTCAGAAATCACTGCCAAAACGATATGATATCCAAATCAAAATGACGAACGAAAATTAGTAAGATTATATGGAAACAATAAGAGAAGAAATACCAGTTTCACCACAACAGGATCTGAAAAGCAATCTGTTTTTCGACAAGTTTGTGTCTATTTTTAGTTTAAAATATGTTTTTATTTCTATTTTTGGTTTAAAATGAAGTAATTCGATTTTTGGTTTTTTAGGTGGAGGGCTCGGCAGATTTGTCTTTCCTTTAAATTTGGAAGATTCAGGAATAGTCGCCGCAATTCAAAGACCGCCACGTGTCTCTTTAATAACTTCAGATTCTATTTCCAAATCAATGGTAATTTTTTAAGTTGATTTCAAGAAAATTGCAATGCCTCAAGGTTTTTGTTCCTTACGTCATATTTGGTTTTCTTACCTACTTAATATAATCTAATTTAAATTTATTAACTCATTGGATAATAGTAAAAACCATATATATATATATATATATATATATATATACTAATATCTTGTCATAAATCACGTTTTGAAATTTTTTATGTCGTCATTATGATTTACAAGACTTAAGACTTACCTCGCCGCTACGAGCGCCTCTCACTATCTATACTATTTTATAAATCAAATTTATCAAAAGTCTTAAAAACAATTTTTAATGCATAAAGTACTATACATTTATGCACAAAGTCTTAAAAACAACTCATAATGCATTAAGTACTACTAGTTTATGCATTCAATCTTAAAATCTCTTAATCTACAATTATTACCTTTTCTTTTCATATTCCCAAAATATTTTGTAACGCCCCAACCCACACATTACATGTAACACATATTTCATACAAAAGAAATACATATTATTCCATTCAGGTCCCTTAGTACAAGAATCTAACATGACCAAATACAAGGTCCAAAAATTCAAAATACATTTCTTGTACTAATCAATCAAAACTGTACATCAAAACAGATCTTCAAGCAGAAATGCATATAGGAAAATATTAAATCTTCCTC